GTTGTGTATACAGTTGTATAGCTCGTACAGAGTGTAGTATTCCTTTTGCGACGAGAAAACGTTGAAAATATTCAGTATCTGTCTTTCCTCGGACAGATACGAGGCGTTCTGCCGAGCTAGACTCTCTGAAGTAGCATGCAGTGTCTCCTTCAGGTTTGAAAAGTGTGTGCCACCGATCTCCAGCGTGCACACTATGGGCTTTAGATCGCCGTTTGGGTTTATATCTTCTACCGCTCCGCCCTTTCTATGAATTCCGTAGATGGGGCTGTATATGAACGTATTTGGCTTTGTAATGTTATTGACTAGAGCAATAGCTCTGCTCCTAATGAGCTCGTTTTTGCCAGAAACCAGTGCAAAATACAGCCCGAGAATGGCACTCATCCCATAGTTGTTGTACAAAAAATACTCGCAGATTCTGTTCATGACTATGTCTACGGCATCTTGTTTTTCTTCATCGCTGAGACCGTTTTCTATTTTTAGATTATCACGAAGTATATCGTTCAGGATCATAAAGTCGTTTACTTTATTGCTTCGTGTCGTATCTCCATCTACAGCGTACCTGCTGTTGATAGATAGACACGCCTGTACTATTCCATCCACGTCTATGCTCAACAGAACCTCTTTCCCGGCCATTCCAAAAGTTTTACTTGCAAAAAATAATTAAAACAGGCTCCAAGGCAGAAAAATTTTAATGATTTTTATTTTAATTACAAAAGTAGGACTGTGCTAATGTGTTATTTCCAGACATTCTTTTTTACTATAATAGAATATGCTCTCGCGCTCAAATAGAAAACAATGCTAAAAGTTGAATAAAAGACATCTCAACAGAGTCAGAGAAAGTTCAAAGAACAACCAGAGAATACGAAGATATCCCCTCTCTGATAAGTCCTGATAGATAAAATGCACAGTTACCTCACCAGAGAGGGTAAATACGAATTGCTAGTGTGTAAAAGGGTAAGGTCTCAACTGAAAAATAAAAATAAAAAAATGTTATTTTTAGCATGAAAAATCAGAAACTGAAGAAAATACTAGGCGCGTCAGGTGTGGCTCTTGTTTTCTTTGTAGCAGCATGCAGAGGCAGCTGCAATGGTTTCAGCGGGAGCATGTATGGCAGTGCACCGTATGTAGGAGGAAATGGAGCAGAAAATGCAATGGCAGGCCAGTACAGCCAAACTGAACAGTATGCAGCAGAACAAAATGCATATGCAAATGAATACAGTATGATATATAGCATGCCTGGCATGCCAATGGGCCAAAATGCATACGCAGATAGCAACAACAACCTAGACCTTTCTTCTGCTGTTCAAGCTTCTATAGACAGTTTAGCATACGGACAGTATACTGGGCAGGGCTGTAGCACTGCGAATGAAGCAGGGTACCAGTCTATGCAAATGTACCCATTTATGCCAGATTTAAGCACATTCAGGTATCCATTTGCTCCGGTGTATAATGCACCCAGCACATCAAGAGAGGAGGCCAGTGTGAGTGGCGCAGGGTTCTTTCCCATGCACCCATGCATGTACAGCTCAGTGCAGGATGAGTATAGCCCTTTTGTAGAGCTGCAGAGGATGGGTGAAGAGCACAGACAAGATGACTCATACACAGCACAGCCTAGTGTAAGCATGCACACATTGGATAAAGCAGGGAGCATGGCTGCTTACTCTGGGAATGAGAATGCAATAGAAAGTGAAATGAGAGATCCAACCCTTGACTTTATTGAGCTGGATACAAATAGCTCTGCGTGTATCTGGAACTGCGGGATAGAGTCTCATAAGTCTATAGATGGCATGCTAGATGCTTATCTTAAATCTCCACAGCACAGCGGGCAGATCAGCACAGGCGAAGATCCATCCGGTGAAGAAAAGGGTAATAGTGCAATGGCTCTAGGAAAAAGAAAGAACAATAAAGCAGATGAGCCAAAGACATACCCCAAATACCGGTCTTTGCGCGCGAGCAAAAGAAAAAAGAAGGAAGCACTAAGAGAAGTGCCTAGCACTGTCTATCAGCAGAAAGAATCCAGAGACACAGGAGAGAATGGAGAAGAGTCGCTTCCAAAGGAGCAGCCACATAGACGAAAGAGAAAGATAAACGAAAGAAAGAAAATGGAAACTCTTCAAGTAAGTCTGTGGAACGACACAAGGCTGACAAATAAAAGGAGAACGAACTACAAGACAAGACACCAGACAGTGTACAAGTATAAATACAGCGACGAAAATGCTTTTATGGCGCAAGAAATAAAGCAGAAACTGTACCAGGAGAACATCAGAAAAGGCTTAGAAAACTTTTCCAAGAAGGTTACTTCCCTAGTAAAAAAGAATCCGCTGCTGTACTTTATTTCCAGCAGAACCACAACCATAGCCACAAAGCACAAAGACCTTCTGTGGATAAGAGAGCTGCTTAAAGAGGAGGAAGACAATGTGTATAGAAAAATGTTTGTGGGCCTGGAAGGATACTATCCCGGCGTGGTTGATGATGCGCTAGAGTACCTGGAAAAGCATAGGCCACTGAGAGTTATCTACAGCTTCCCTCCAACCGTGTGGAAAGAAACGCTAGGAGATGTTTATATGCGAAAAGCCCCAGAGATCAACTATAGCATGGTAGTAGATCAGAGCAAGGTCGACCAGATACACAGAAGATACTCTGCAGTGGCCTGTGCCCTGCGCATGATTCTAGCGCTGCCTGAGATATGCCAAGACTTCTATAGGATCAGTGCAGCATTTATACAAGATACTACAATCTCTGCAGAGCCAGATATAAATGAAAAAAGTGTCCAAGTTCTTCTGTCCATACACACACTGATAAATGAAGCAGAAGAGGATAGTACAAAAATAGAAAAAGAGCATGAAAATATCCACATTGCTCTTGAGAGTCTGCACAAGAGGAACATATGGGAAGAGCCAACAGCCTCTGAGCTGTACAAAAAACTATACACAGTTCTTGCAGACTTCTACGAGAAAGTGAGGGTTTTTAATGACGATGAGTACATCTTGGTAGGGAAGTGTGCTATAAAACACCAGAGGTACGTTAAGTGCGAGGCCTTCTTAAGGCAAACGGCAGAAAATCCTTCTAAATGGATCTACAACTCTCTATACTCATATGAAGCGAACAAATGGAGCACTTCGCCTGATGTGAAATCGCATTACCACGTGCACTACGTGGACAATGCATTGGGCCAGCCGAAAAGGCTGTGCATGCCCATATACAAAAAAGACAGCAGCGATGAAGAGCACTATCTGCACGCAATTAGCTATATAGTGAAGCATATAAAGATTCTACATAGAATAGAGGACAGCTCAGACGTTGTACATCCTTTCAAGGTGGACAGACAGAGTAAAAAGTGGTCGTACATCAAAGAGGAGGAGAGAGACCAGACGGTAAAAGATTTTGTGGGGTACGAGGTCGTGTTTTATCGTATTGAGAAGAATCAAAAGAAAAACTTTACGTTTGCAGTGTTCACGCCCTTATATGCCTACGATGACAATGTTATTCCCATACCGCTCTTTCTCACGCCCTTCATGCAGTCTGCAGTAGACCTGGGACCATTTTTCAGGAAAGAGCAGCACAAAGAGCTAGACTCGATAGAGCTTGAAAACCAGAGGCCTGATGTGTACATTTTTGATGAGGAGTACACAGCCAAAGAATTCTCAAACATACATGCGTACTACAGCAATCTGTACATACTGTCAGACACAGAAAAGGTGGATACCCTCGACTGCTACGTCATGGACTGCCAAGTGACTCCGCAAATACATGGCAAATCTAGGATTACATGGTATGTGGACACGATGGACAATCCAAGCGCGTACACACACTTTCTGCCAAACAAGAGCTTCAAGAAAAAAGAAAACTCAAAAAAGCTTCGCAGTTTTATCGATGTGGTAGAGTCCAGGGAGCACAACAAGGACAGCAATATACAGTGCATTTGGCTGAGAGGCAGCAGCGCAGAAGATACGCCATCAAAAGAGAAGGCGCAGAAAATATGCATCTGGCAGATAAACATTGCCGAGGAGAGCTATGGAAACAGTCTGAACGAAGACACGGCGATGGAGAAAATAAAAAAAGAAGAAGAAAAGTTCAGGAAAGCAGAAGAAAGACAAACAAAGCTGAGGATAATAAGAAAAAAAAATAGAACAGAAAAGATAAAGGCCGAAACCAACACAACTAATATGGCAAAAAGCAGGGCACAAATCAGAAAAAAGGCTTTGAGCAGGAAAATATGCGAGAAGATGTCTGAAAAGCCAGACGAGCACGTAGAGCTCATGGCGTTCCGCTATGTGAACGAAAGCAAGTCTGATTTGGGCGCGCACAATGAAATCCTTGATGTTCTGATTACGTGGTATAACAGATAAAAGGGGCCTAGAGAATAAATAGAGTTTAGTTGAGCCAGTGCATATTGTTGTTCTTATCTGCATTTTTAATCATAACTTCTAGTGCGGTGTAAATCTTTTAGTTTCTCAAAGAAGTAGACTCGCATTGGCATTGCATTGTATTCATCTGTGCATATCTGTCTATTTTAACTGATTGTCTGTCCTGTAAATTGTTGTTGTGCTTGGAATGAAATAAAATTAAAATAAAAAATAAAGTTAAGCGTATACCATTAGGTAGAATTTACTTTTTGTATTTGCTTTTATTTATTTATTTTATTGCGAATAAGCAGAATATTGAAAAGAAAAGTGCGGATTTAGGAAAGCAGCAGTAGAGACACTGTAAGAGTAGATGGAATGAAAAGATGGCTCTGATAGTATACAGATCAAGAATAGTAGTGTGTGATGGGAATGAGTAATACCGGCTGAAATAGCAAGAGCAAATAAAGGGAATAAATGTAATTTATTTTAGACACTGACTAGTTAGTGCTAGATATGCCAAGGAATTGTAGATATATCCTTGACTTACATCTATTGAAGTGTTTCTTGTTCTGTTGTGTTGTATGTTGAGACGTGTGCTCATAAATAACTAGCACTTGCAAACTTTATTATTTCACTCTTTGAATAAGCAGTAAATAGCGCTGTAGCTAATATTATTATAAGAATAGCACATGCCATAACTACTATACTTGTGCTTTTTGGGGCAGTGTTTATTGGCAAGAGCTTGTTTTCTTCTGGTATTTCTGCTTCATTTGCTACTTCTGCTTCATTTGCTACTTCTACTACATTTACACCTAGCTTTTTTGCAAATGTCTTAATCTTCTCGAATAGATAGTTTTTTTGCTCGGAGGTCATTTCAGATAAATGCTCTAAGTTTTCCAGAAGCTTATTTTCGACATTGTTAAACTGTGTTCTTTCTTTTTTTGCAGCACAACGCAGAAAATACATTTCGTGTTCCAGAATATTAATGTTGCATTTTATTTTTTCCATCTCTTCTTTGCTCTTTTTTATATCTTGGGGGCTTTTCTCTGCATCTGATTTATTCACCTCCCCCTCTTTTTTACAAGTGTCTTTTTCTATGCAGCCTTTTTCTTTTTCAAGGGCTTCCTTTTTATTTTCTATTTCTTTATCTATGCTATCTCTTTTTTCATTTATCTTTTCTAATAGGCCTCCGTTGATTATGTATTTCTCATAGAAACGAGTTAAGTTAGGATCTATCTCCAATCTGTTTGTTCCATCTGCTGGGTCCAAGAATAGACTGTTATTTGCCATGTATTCTACTGCTTTGATTGTTTGGTTGTATATATTTTTTTCATGTCTAATTTTTTCTAGATTTTCAACAATAGAAGCAACTATTTCCAGGCCGCCAGAGCCAAGTACATCGTGAATCTCTTTTTCAATCATTTCCTTTTGATTTTTATCAACAATCACCTTTATCTGCTCGATTAGGCTGTTTAACGGCTCAATTTTATAATAATTTGCATGGATAAGGCTCAGTCCCCAATCCACCAGAGGCACCTCTGTGCCTTCATACTTTTCGCTGTACAGTTGATCAAGGGTGTAGAGAGTTACAGAAGGGAAGTTTTTCAGCTTGTGCTTTAAATTTGAAAAATATTCAGTGTTACGAAAATTCTCTCTTTTCAGGCCATCTGTGGTAAAATGGAGCAGGCTTTCCAAGCTCGAGAACTTTTCATCATCAATCAGCAGTGTGCATGTCCGGGTGCTTAGGTCGGGGTTGTCATTCTCTGGGCCTATACCGTCCAGAGCCTCATTCTTGTTGCACTTCCTCTGTATTCCGTGGCTTGGGTTGTATATAAGAGTGTTTGGCTTTATGATTTCATTGAGCAGACGAATGCAATTACATCTAACTAAGTTCTCTTCTTTAGTTCTTAATGCATCATCTAAAGCGCGGATAATGTATGCTGTGTACTCATTGTATATGAGGTGCTGGTACATCTCCTTCTTGACTGTATTTAAGATGACCTCCTTTTCTTCAGCACTGTTCTTACTTTCTATTTTTAGATTGCCGTCAAGTATGTGGTCTAGTATGGCAGCGTGCTCTCTCGAGCTGTTAAATCCAATAGTTATCTTTGAGTTTTTATCATTAATGGAAATGCATGCTTGCACTATTTTTTCTACGTCTATTACCAGGCTAACCTCTTTCATATGGTTGTTGCAAAAGTTTTAATTGCAGAAAGTATTTTAATTTGCTGAGCTATTCATCCTATTGGTGCTTCATTGCAGTTCTTGACTGAGCATCTGTAGAGTGCTGACTGGTACATTATACAAAACATTGTTAACTAGTGTATTTGCACGCACTAAACACAGTGTTCTATTAGGTAAATTATTTGTGTGAATATTTATCCATTAGTGACTAGCGAGCTAATAGGTATAGGACATAAATAATATTAGTGTGCGTATTAAAAAGTTTTTTGTTCATGCAGACTGCTAAGTATTTGTATATAGCTTTGTATAAATAGATAAAAGTGTGTAGGTGCAATGCGTGTAGAAATAAGTATGTTTATTTTCGATACCAACTGATTTGTGCTGGATAAATAAGATATCTTTAACTTTTTTGTGTTTCTCAGTTGTTGTGTCTCATGGCAGAGTCTTTGTGGCTCAGCAACTAGTTAACGCTACTGGATCTTGTCAGCATATCTCTTAAGTGGTCCTTGAGCAGTAATAATGTTACTACTGCAAGAAAAGCGACAAAAGCCACCAATATTGCAATTCTTTTTGCTCGAGTTAGTTTTTTTTCCTCTGGTTTTCCTTGTGGCTCGTTTCCTACCTGTAGATTTGCTTGGGTTTCTTCTGAGTTTCTTGTTGTTTCTTGGGTTTCTTCTGTGTTTCTTACCTGTAGATTTGCTTGGGTTTCTTCTGAGTTTCTTGTTGTTTCTTGGGTTTCTTGGGTTTCTTCTGTGTTTCTTACCTGTAGATTTGCTTGGGTTTCTTCTGAATTTCTTGATGTTTCTTGAGTTTCTTCTGTGTTTCTTGATGTTACTTCTGTTGGATTGGCTATTTGTGGTATTACTTGTGGCTCTGTTCGCAGTGCCTCTACTTTTTCTATCTCTTTGTGTATGTATTTCTTCTGGACTAAGCTCATTTTATCCAAGAGATGCAGATTAGAGATGTTTTCAATTTGCGCTTCCTCTTTTTTCTTGTTACATTCTAATAAATATATCTGGTTTTTAATAAATTCGATAGAAGAATCAAATTTAAACAACACATCCCAGCTTCCCCCTTCTTTCTTTGCTTTACTGAGATCTTCTTTCGCTTTGTCTAAAGCTTGATTTTTCTCAAGTATTTTTTGGTCTAAGTCAGCTATTTTTCCTCTCACTGTAGTCTCCAAGCCATTGTTTCCAGCTACATATGTTCCTATAAAATTGCTTAAGTCAGCGTCTATCTCTAGCTTTTTCATCTTGCCATTTTCTTTCAAGACGTCAGTGCTATTCATCAAGTATTCTACTCCCTCGATCACCGCCTTTTGCACTTTCTTTTCATCTTTGATTTTTTCTATGTTGTGGATGATGGAAACGACTGTTCTTAGCTCTTCTTTAGTAAAAAGCTCAGTAGTTTCTGTGAGCGATGTGTGCTCTGGGTAAAAAAGCTTGTTTTTATCTTCATGTATCTTGATTAACTGTCTGACATCATCGTACTTTTTGTGAATAAGCTCCAGCCCGTAGTCTACGAGTGCTACATCAGAGCCCTCATATTTCTCGCTGTATAGATCATCAAGAGAGTAGTAGCTGTCCTCTGGCAACAGCTCTTTTAAAACACCCATGCTATTTTTCTTTGTAGCTACCAAGTTACACATGTAAAATAGAAACTCTCTGTTCAGATCGTTCTCGATAGACTCAGCAAGATTTTTCAAGCTCAGGAACTTTGTTTCATCGATCTCTAGTTTGTAGACTGTAGTGCTATTATCACCACCGCCTATGATGACTTCGTTCCCTCTATTTATTCCATGCTCTGGGCTGTATATGAACGTGTTTTTCTTTAGGAGTTCATTGAGCAGAGCGGTGGAGTAAAATTCAACATCTTTAATGTTTCTTTGTTCTCTAAGCAGCACAGAGCGTAAAGATTCTACAATATTTGCACCATTTCCGTTGTATGCAAAATTTCTGTAGAGAAGATTCTTGATTGCATCCAAGAGATCGCTTTCCTGTCCTACATAATCTTCTTTGCTTTCTATTACTAGATTGCCGTTGCCGAATATTTCCTTTAGTATGGTCAAGCTCTCTTCTGGAGCGTTTCTCTTGAGAAGCAATTTTGCGCCCTCAGTATTAATATCTTTGCATGCTTTTAGTATTCCTTCTGTGTTTATCTTTAATCTAGCTTCTTTCATATGTCCGTTGTAAAAATTTTAATTGCAGAAAGTATTTTAATTTGCTGAGCTATCCATTCTATTGGTGCATTATTGCAGTTCATTGGCTGAATAGTTGAAGAGCAGCTGACTGGCTGGCTGAGCACTGAGCACTCCCAGCTAGTGCATTTGCACGTGCTGAGCAAGTGTTCTACTGGCTGAGACTGTTCAGTTATTGCTTAGACCCACATATTATACAGATCACAAGTAAGCATATCATGGCATCCAAAGAACTTGTTACTGTGCAAACGCTAAGTGTTTTTGCAAAGTTTTGTGCAAACAGCTAAAAATGCATAGATAAATGTGTGAAAGATGAGTATACTTTATTTTGCATGCGAGCTGACTGGTGCCAGATGCTCAGAGTGTTCTCTATCTTAATATCTCTTATGATGTAATTTCATGTAAGATGCTTCTTTATGTTCCAGCAACTAATTATTTCTGCCAGACAGGAGGATTCTGCTCCTTGATCTGCCAATCTCTACTGCTGCTGCCGTAAAAAGAATAACCAACACGATGACTGCAACTATAGTGGCTGGTTCTATTTTTCTTTCTGGCGTCTTTACTTTTTCTACCAGCTTTACGCCCTTTTGCTTTGCGAGCTTTTCCATCTTTTCGAGAATGTACCTTATCTGGCCCTTGGCTAG